ATCAGACTTGATTGGCTTGCTGGCAGCAGCCAGCTCATTCACGAAAGTGGACTCGATCGGCTTGCTGGCCACTACCAGCTCATTGAACGGTATTGGACTGGGTAGACTTGCTGGCCACTACCAGCTCATTAAATGGTATTGGACTGGGTAGACTTGCTGGCCACCGCTAGCTCTTTCACGAATCAGACTTATGGAATCAGACTTGATTGTCCACTGGCTCCTGGCAGCTCGTACATCCAAGTCAACTCACTGATTGGCCCGCTGACGACTGCCAGCTCATTCAGGAAGTATAGGGGACTTTGATTACCTGCTGGCCCCATCTAGCTCATTCAGAAAAACGGTCCCTGATTGGCCGCTGGCGAACGTTCTGAGACCCGAGCGCTAAACTGTCTGGTACTCCCCGAATGGGCCATCATTATTAATATTATTATTATTATTATTTTCAGTGACGGGATTGTTGTCGAGTACTCTGATCAAGTTTGGGACGGGACATTCACGAAAACGGTTGCTGATTGGGCCGCCTTTACTACTATTCTGCTGGTCACTTTGGACGGGTTCGGGACAGACTCCCTGGCCGAGCAATTATTGATATTTTCTTTTCTAGATGATGGGACTGCTGCTCACACGCGCGCCAGGCTGCTGAGAAGACTGGGAAGGGGAGACTTTCACCCTCCGCACAGGTAAACCCCGTCTCCATTTATCCTCGCTGTTACTGAATCCATCCACGTGAGGCTCGAGTCGGGACGCAGTAACAGAGAGAGAGAGAGAGAGAGAGCGGAAGGGGGGGGGAAGTTGAAGCGAGCTCCCTGATGTGAAAACAGCAAACTGCGGGTGCAAATTAATGTATTATTTCCTAGTTCAGAAAGTTGTTTCCACGCTGTGAGCGGCACACACACACTCACACACACACACACACACACAGAGGGAGAGAGAGACAGCGAAACACCATGCCCACTTAGAAAGGGTGGACCAGTGTGTGGAACTGTCTCTATTATTTTATTTTATTTTATTTTACTCAGGAGGCAGTTGGCTGACGAACACGATGAATCGAGGTCAAGCGAGGACAAAAAGGGGGGGGAAGTTGAAGCGAGCTCCCTGATGTGAAAATAGGAAACTGCGAGTACAAATTAATGTATTATTTCCTAGTTCAGAAAGCTGCTTCCACGCTATGAACGGCACACACACACACACACACTCACACACACACTCACACACACACACACACTCACACACACACACACACACACATAGAGGGAGAGAGAGAGGGGGAGAGAGACAGAGAGAGAGAGAGAGCGATTGAGTGAGAGGGAGAGACAGCAGACTGAGTGAGAGAGAGAGAGAGAGAGACTGAGGAAGAGAGAGACAGCGTACTGAGTGAGAGAGAGAGAAAGAGCGGACTGAGTGAGAGGGAGAGACAACTGACTGAGGAAGAGAGAGAGAGAGAGAAAAAAAAAAAGAGTGAAAGATCAACCCCTGCTGCTGGCAGGAGTTGTTGATTGCCCTGCTGGCCATATTATGATCTGATAACGCTAGATTGAAGTGCTTCTGTGGGCAGGGGAAACAGGAGATAATAACCCCCAACACCCTATCTGCCGCTGAGGACCTCGGAAGCGGGCATGCCCAGTGACAGGCGGCGTTGCCCCTGGCTTCAGCGAGCGGTAGGAGCCCCTCCCCGGGTTTCCTAACACCGGTATAGCGCGACGTTGTAACGGGGGTTCAACGACCGTTGAACCGTTCAACGGTAAACCCCCGTTTATCGACTTTCGGATACAAAGCTTCCAGAAGTCTCACTCCCAAAATACGACACACAGTGCCAATACTGGGTCGGCCCCCGCTGCTACCATCGGCCTGTCCTGCCTCCTCCTGCCTCTCTCTCTGCCAGAGCTCTTTCCTATGCCTCTCTCTCTGCCCTCTATCTCTCCTCTCTACGTCTCGGCTCAGCCGTGGCAACCTCTCTCCTAAGCTTTCCATCCACTATTCACAGATGACCAAGGACGGTGGTCAGATTGCCGAACCTCCTGTGGTGAAGGTGCCAACGAGGTAAACATGTGTCCTCCCCCAACAACACTCCCCGGTGTCGGATGCTTGGCAACGCTCTACGCACAGGGAGTGGCCAGTGCTGGTGAACCACATCACTGTGAGCAGCCCATCACTTCTCTCTAATCCTCGCTGACTACGCCTCCTCACGCTCCAAGCTCCCGGAGGATCCTTTATATATAGGGCTGACATGGGTGTAAGCTGGCGTCGATGCGTCTTAGACACCAGGACATCCGTCATGGCCTGTAGGGGTGTCCGGCAACGGATCCACCACACCCGCCCTCTCCTCGTATGCCACTACCACCTGCGTGTCGGAGGCGGAGCCCGTCGTGTGAAGATCCGCTCGCGACTTGCCCTCTGCTCCGTGCCCTCCCGGCTCCTCCACGTCGCCTCGTGTCATGTCTCCAATAGGAACCTCATCCGAGATGGGCTGCACGTGAATGGGCACCCTGTATGGGACAGTGTGGCTCCTTTGTGTCTGCAACATCTGCCTCCACACCCTTAGCTCCAACGTCAACACCACGGTTCTCATGACTGAATACCTGCTCCACCTCCGCACCTCTGGGTGCCATAAGTCCCAGTACAACGTCGCACACAACCTGCGACTCCGAGTCCATCGTGCCTGAACCTCCTGCCTCTGAGGTAACAGGAGCATGAGACGCAGACGAGCCGCATGGTCCAGGAGGCGATGCAGATACAGGTGGAACATCAGCATGTCCCATAATGATCGGGGATGGTGGGAGAGTGGCATGGTGTGTTGCAGCAGGGCGGTCAGGGGTCATGTGTGGCAGCGACGTCGGCGGATGTGGTGAAATAGGTCCCCCACCCGAAGGCTGCAAGACAGCATCCCCTCCGAGCACAGCCTCCACGATCTCTTGATCGCCATCTGCACCAATGGTCTCTAGCCGTCTCATCATCTCTCATGCGTTCCACCTCCGCCAGATAAGCCACTTTCCCTGCCCACTACACCCGAAACAAACGCCCCTCCTCCTCCGGGTCAATGCTCGCGTCACGCTCTAATTGTGTCTCCTCAGTGTGGCTGTTGTCAGGATAATAGTCGGCCATGCCCCCCAATCGAACGTGCTGGCGTCTGCCAATGCCGCTATCGGACGTGAGCATTGATGCGGAGGAGGAGGAGCATTGACGTAAACCATCTTCAGATTCTTATTAGAATTT